TCGATTGCGGGGGCGCACCCCTCAGACGGGATTCATTAACGCCAAAAAGTTTATCCTTTTATCCTTTAAGTGATGAAAAATGGCATCCAGTCAGTCAACGCAGCAACGTAGAATTCAGAACTAATTTAGTAACTCAGAGGCGCCCTTATATAAGGCTTATATAAGGCTTTCCTTGTCCATACACGTTATTGTTGTACACAAACGTCAACTCATTTAGACAACGCTAGATGAATACATGTCAATACTAGATGAATGCATGTCAATACTAGATAAAAACATGTAAATACCATCTATACACGTTAACCTGGTCTACACAGGCCAATATTCCTTACATAATTTCTTTGTTTGCATATTAAATAAATAAGTAAATAAATAATTTATGAACTATAACTTGTTTTGACTTGATGTTTCATTAACTGCTGCTGTACAAGGCGTAACTGCCGCAATATGCGATGCGAAAGTCACACCAGGATGGCGATTTGTGGGCAAAACTTCGGCCTCTGACGGGAATTCAACCCTTAATTGCTCGGAAAGCAGAAGTACGGGTTCGAGTCCCGTCAGAGGCTGATGTTTGGCCTCCAAGTCGCCATCCTCGTAATTTATGAGCCTTCCAAACTCCATTTCATGAAGTACTTACTAAAACCATTGTTTCAGTGGAAAATGAACAGGATAAGGCGAAGTCAAAGAGCGTAAAACGCGATGTTGAAGAGGAGAGGAAAAAACGTCGACGTACGCTAGAAGCTGAACGAGAACGAAAACGTGAAAGTCATGACAACCGGAAGAAATTGCGGGAGATGGAAGAATTCATAAAGGCGTTAAGAGAGAAGAAATGATAGTAATTTGTAATGCTAATAGTTTAATATAGGTTAATATTCTTGCCTCAGTTTGTAGCCTACGCTTGGTGAAATGTCTTCCACTAACTGACTTACTCGGGCATAAGCTCTTAAGATCAGGTAATAATTGTTAGTTTGTTTTGCTTTGTTACAGCACTTTTTGAACTGCATTGATTTTCGATAAAGCATTTTTTCCTGGTTGCCATGTTCAGCTTGTTCAGCTTTTGGGTTGTTCCATGTATATCGTGATTATATTGAACTTTCCTCGAATTCACTTCTTTTATAATCAAGTTTGGATTTTCAGAATGTCGTGTGCGAGTCACCGTATGCACACTGGACGGTGTTTGTGTATCCACTCATCGTTACAGCTTCTTGATCTAGCGATGCAATCTCTCCTGTTGAATCATGGCCTCCTGCCTTGTCCTCTGTCATTAGTTCCAAGTTCGCCACCTGCAGGCCTGGTGAAGACTTTGGATGGTATCGAAAAAGTAAGACATTTCGAACGCTGTATGCTTAGGAACATTCCGAAATTCAGAAAAAAATCAGGGGTTTAGGCCCTTGGTGCATTCATTATTCATACCTTAATGCGGAAATTTCCTTCTAGCTGCGCTATACTATAACTAATTGCAAAAATGCTCTTTATCGATAGATTTTTTATTGTTTTCAGTTTTATTTCATCAATTTAATAAAGAGTTTTCACCTTATGGTGGCTGGCTTATAGTTCTTTGATGTGGGTAAATGAATTTTTTATTTACTTACCTACTTAGATATCGGTTTATATCGTCATCAGTTTCGAACTCTTCAGTGTGTTCAGTTTGATCAGCTTCATCCAAGAACGTTTGTTTTTTAGGTTCGCGAAGTTCTGCGAGGGGTTTTTCGTTCCAAATATCGTCGTTCTATACGTGAAGTAGCGATTTGCGTTGGACCCAATCCTCATCGGATTATTCACACCTATAGTACGTTGCAAACTTCTCATTTCTTTTTGTTTTTATTTCCCGCAGAAGCGCTGACAGTTGCTTAAGTAAGCTTCGGAAATCGTCGCATAGGACAAACACCTACAGTCCTGAATGCGCGTAGGAATCGATCATCGCAGGGAAACTTTGCTCTTTTGGGAGTGTTTCTTTAGTAAGTGGCACATCTAAAGCTTTCTTCCTCCCCAATTAGTTTGCGCAGTATGTGATAAGTAAAAGTTGAAATGTAAGGCATAAACATGACAGCAAGTATAGCGAAGGGATAATTCTCTCAACCAAGGTCTACTTCCGCAGATGTTTGCGAGGTGTGTCCCATCTTCTAACATTGAACATCTCAGGCCTACTCCGAGGCCGATAATCTGTCGTACGCGAAAAACTAGTGCCTAACGAAATCCTAATAACTGAAATCCACGTCCCAGCAGTTTCTAAATAATGAGCAGTACATGCATCTTCCAGGCAAATCATGTGAGGGAAGACTTATGTAGGAATAATTTGCCATCGGAGTAGCGGAGCAGTTTTAAAGTCTAGCGGTTATTTTTGCTTTTCAGAAATGCCAGTTACAATATGCAATGCGGAGGACTCGCACGACGAAAACTGTGGCTCGCCATGCGGATCACTCTCAGATGTGGAGAAACGTCGGATTAACCGGCAGCTGTTTTTGGTGGGTTACTCAATACTTACTAGTGAGGGGTCTTTCGATCTTAGCACTTATACCGAGTAAATCCATACATTTCTAGTGAGTGTTATGAACTGCGCTGAGTAAGAGAGGTAGCTGTACCGTAACTCGCGTCCACTTTTTGCGTACAAGAAGTTAGGGTCAGGACCGTGAAGCCTTACTCTTTATCTAGACAGCACCGAATTCAGATAATCGGCATATGGAACTATGTTCTTATCTTTACAGACTTAGGATCGCTTCTGCTAATTTCGGGTATGCATTTAATTGTTTTCGCACTTATCGCGAACTTCGCAGTTCAACGACAATTTGCCCGACATCGAAATCATAGAGAATCCGGGAAAATGGCTATCCCAATTAATATGGCCATGTTCCTGGATTCTCTATAATTTCGTTGTCGGGCAAGTTTACGGTACCGTCTACATAATCATAACAAGATGAAACATTAAGGTTTGTTGGTAAGACACATTGTTATTATGAAGAACAAGTGAACGTTTCATTATCTTAACATATCCATACACATTCAGGCATTTCCTCCGGAAGAGGCACGCCATTCCGGTCAGAGAATGTTCGTATTCATTCGAGGATACGATGAGTTGGTGAGGGAAGATATTGAGGAAAGGTGAGGGTAATTTTGGCAAGTCTTCACTGATATGTTTTCGGTTTGAGAAGATTTTTGTATAAATGCTTTACTGCAACTGGAAAGCAGAAAACCAGTTTTAAAATAGTTGAGACCGTATTCCTGGTGATGATTGGGAGACGAATGATTAACAAAGAAACCTAATAAGTTCTGACGTACCAATCACCCACTCAGAAAAAAAACTTTGCGATTTCTCCCAACAGATACGCTCTATGAGTAACTCTATTGGGGAATTTTTGTTGACTCAAGGAGGAGTTTTTGCGTAATTTCGTTGATCATCGCTTTTATAAAATTGTTGCAAATGCAGCGGGCAAGATGAAATCTACGCTTCCACTTTCATGTATTTAGTTACCGGCCACTTTCTACAGTGTTGGTTCACTGGTGTTCGCTTGTTGTTTATCACTAGGTTTACCTCTTTCTTTTCAAAACTTAATTACAGTTTCCAATGATTAGTAAGTTGAGTATTCGTTTTTCAGTGATGTTTTCTTCCATGATGATAAATGTAGCTTAGTAGAATTTGATCACGAGGGGTGTTCAACGCAGCTTTCGGAAACCACTGAACGTGCGTATCGATGGATGCGTGTGGTGCCATTCATTGTCCATGGTAAAGTATGATTTGACTAGTATTATGTAATTTGTTTGAAATCGAATATATCTCGCCTATGATATTTGGATTATTGTTTTTGAAGTTGTTTACCTCTTATTACGATCTCTGTGGAACCTCCCAAATGTCGTTCAAACTACTTTGTCTTGAGATTTCAGTTTGCTCATTGTATTACTCTTTTTTGATGTTTGAGTTCTGGATTTTAGTGGTTGCTGAGCCATTGACCAAATTTCCAATGCATTATTTTGTTGTGATTCTCCACGATTGTACCTCTTTTTGCTGAAAATCATTTTGCCCTGAGACTTCTGACTATTTACTTTGCTAGTTTTTTTTCTATTATTCTAGTGGTTATTTGCGGTTATTGAATGTCGTCATTCCTCCTTAGAGGTCTTGAATGCGGCCCTATTTCGTTTCGAATCACTCAGTGGATGTAAAATTGTCGTTTGGATCTCGCTGTCTCGTAATAATCTCATAATAAACGTAAAAAGTGCCGCAAAAATGTATTGGATGTAGCTGTGGTTCAGTGAAGCTTACTCCTTTGAGTTGAGAATCAACAAAGTCTGAGCTTTCGTGAAGAATAACTATCTTTATCGGGAATTAGGGCTACCCGCAGTCACTTGCGAGAGGATGAATCCTTAAGCTTCAATATAGTCATTAAATAATCGACTGGCGTAGTTATTATGTGATAACAAGAACTTTCTCTCGGATTGAATGCCAGTGATACATGAACCTTGGTGTTCGACAGTTTGAGCTCCTGAACTGCCAGGGTTCTTTAGCTTTTAAAAATAACCACTCATAGCAACTGTTGTTCTGACTTCCCTAAAATTCCTTATGGTTAGTGGTGAAAGTGTTTTCGTCAGCACTGATCGTACTTATTCCCTAGGTAAGAGCAGTAGTTTGGTTACTGTAAGAGGAATCGAGGTCCTTCACACGAACGGAATTGCAAAGCTGTGATCAAGATTTGTTTATTCGAAAATTTATGAAGACGAAACATCGGCTAATCCGTTAGGTCACATTTTGCCATTGCTACTCTGGTTCGGAGCCGGAAGTATATAAAGAAGAGTCTTTCAGGCCAGGTAGAATTTTTTTTTGTTTAAGAGCTGAATTACTGTAACCACTGCAGCTACCGTACAGCTAGCTGGTGCCGCTGGAAAAAGGCTGTTCATAGTTATGCAAGACGCGTCAACGACATGCCAAGTCCACCCCTGCGCTTCCAGCTTTCTCTAGACGAAACGGTTGCCGACAGGGGGTCTCTCTCATAGCGCGGATTGTGTGGCTGAAGACAAGAGTTAGCCCAACTAGTGGTTGGCTTGGGACAACTATCCAGATGGTGCCTAGCTATTCCCTCTGATAAGATTGCTAAAGTCTAAAAAGAATACGGCCTGCTACTCTTACAAACCTGGTAAATGAAGTAGGGAAAGTAACGAATTTAACGGCTGTATATACAGTGATATAATTTTTATTGATGGAGATCTCTGGCAAAAAATTACAATCTATTACCAGTTTTCAAAGATTTTTATGCGTCTTCATATGTCGATGAAGGTTACCGGATTGTGTGAAGCGCATAAAGCAGATATCACATCCATATGGCTTCTGACCTGAAATCACCCTATAATCGGTGCAGGAAAAGACATGGAGAGCATCCATGTTCGACTCTCGATAAATCTTGGCATAGTTTTGCAATAATTTTATAAGATTTTATTAAAACCTGATGCCAAGATGGTAAACAAGTTCTTATCAACTTACGTTTCGGCGTTATCGCCTTCCTCAGAGTTGGAAACCTAAAGATAATTGCTATCCATTCCTCATTCAACACTTTAGCTTCAAAAACCGGTTCTCTAGACCTAATGTTTCCAAATGGGCATGATAACCCCTAAAACGTTTAACCCACCTCCAACAACAACCGCAACAACCGGTCGTATGGACGACCGCCGCTAAACTCACCCATATGGACTTGGGGTAGCTTTAGATGATATGCTCTATCCCTCCCGCCGTGATACCAGAGGCATATAAAACCCACAGAGGTCAGAGAAAGGCGCGAGTTCACTAGCTACGGCTAGGCACTCGTCCTTCCTATTCATTTTTGGAGACCTAGCCTTGATGAAGAATGCTTCAAGTGTTTTCCGCGCCGAAATGAGGGGTTCTCGTAATAGAATCCTAACTGTAATTCCGAATACAGCACCTTTATGGGACTCTACTCGGTGTGCACCCAAGGGGGTCTCCACCCTTGCTCGATTTAAACCCTCCAGATGTTCCTTGACCCTAACGCACAGAGGTCGCCCAGTCTCCCCTATATATTCTTCCTCGCATAGATTGCATGTGATCAGGTAGATCACGCCTGGTGTCATGCAGTCACCCTCCTGCCCATTAGGGCAGATGATGTCATGCAATCTATGCGAGGAAGAATATATAGGGGAGACTGGGCGACCTCTGTGCGTTAGGGTCAAGGAACATCTGGAGGG